AGGAACGCCGCCCGGTTCGGTGTAGTACACCGTCGGCTGCAGGCACAGAACAAAGGTTCACGCAAGCAGCCTCGTCATGCTCACGATAGGTATCGTAGGGCGGATGTAGCGGGACTCTAAGCAGTTCAGTCATGACCTCTCAGAGACACAAGCGAGGCGGCGTGTGAGCAGAAGAGGGTGTGAGGTGGACCGAAGAGGGCAAGCTTAGAATGAGGCTGAGTGGGAATGGAGAGAAGGTGATGGTATGCTGTGTGATCTGCCCCGCCGCTAGCGCAGAATCGTGACTACGTAGTGTCTTCGGGCCTTTGGCTCCACCGCAACCCACTCCTTAGTCCACCTTTCCTCTTGACGCCTCGCTGCAATTTGCACGATCGCGCTGGTCAGTCTCTGGCCATAGTTTGACATTTAGCGGTAATACATCGATCGACAGTCCTGCATTAACGGCCGTCGAGTCCGCAACACCTAGTGGCCAATGCGCGCGTGCAGCCTGCTGCAGGTCATCCTACACCGAGATGGTGTGCCGCCAACCATCTCATGTGGTCCGCCAGCCATCACTCTGCCTGTCACCCAGTCCCTTGCGCCCTGGGATCCCTACCCTATTCTGTTCACGCTGCACTAAGCTTCTCATCCACACCGCACGCTAATGCGTATGCACTGCACATGCAGGGCACCTCTTCCGGCTGCATCTCTCGCCTGCAAACATAAGTACCCAAGGGAATCCTCCAGAATACACATTCGGTATCAGGATATCTCGAGGAGGATAAGCCACGGTTTCCTACTAACGGTCGCTTCTTGACTCGTCCCCTACCAGGCAAACAAAACACTTCCTAGGCAGCACTACCATTGTCTCATCGTCGCCGCCTCATCCACTCCGCCTTACTGTGACTCTATCAGAAGCTTACGCCCAAGTCACGCATATATTTTGCGTGCGCCACTCACCACTGGCTAAACTACAAAAACAACCTTCCTCCTCCACCACTTGTGAGCTCTCGTTACCGAGTGTTCGCAAGCTGTTGTTTAAGGAAGGACCGGCCAGGAGCCGGAGCTGAACACCATTCTCGGTCACATCGCCTTGGTCAAGGTTGAATCAAGCGCTAAACCGTCGCTACCCGTTCGACGTTCATCACTCCTTCGAAAATTCAAGGATATTCTATTAATCATGCCTTCCTATCTACGAAGCGCCCCCCGTTCCTACTCCTTCCCGCCCTGGGTCGAGAACGGCAACGAGGACACACATGAGAACGACCTTCCAGACATCGACGAAGACCCCTTCTCGCACTTCATCTCACCACCAATCACTGAAGCTGATGACCCGTACGAACTGTCTCTCAGCGCTGGCATTGACTTCCAGGAAGGACCACGCGCAACTAAGTCTTCCAAGTTCAAGTCCAACGTCGCCAACAAATGGGCCCGATACGTCAAGCACAACCACAGCCAGCTCCACAACCAGTACCATGCACCTACCATCTATGAAGAAGAGGAGGAAGAGTCTTTCATGGGTCTCGATGACGACCGACTGAACGACACACCACATGTCGTGTCTCAACTCAGCCCACCACGAATCAGGATCACTGAACCATCTCGAGGTCGCGCACAGGATCTTGCAACTCGCAAGCAGCAAAATCGTCGCCGCTACTCGCGCACACTATCTGGTCATCGTCACTCATGGCGGGAACCCAGCCCGGATCTATTCACTGTAGACGAGTCTGAAGAGGAGGATGTTCCTGCGCTACGACGCGCAAAAACAAGGAAGCCCAAGGAGGGCGCAGAACGACGGAGGTCGTCGACACGATCAAAGTCAAGAGCGAGAGTGGACTCGGTGACAGGAGAGTCAATTTTGTAATCACGAGGAGAAAAGGTGTAGTGGGGTTGGGGCCGGCTACACAGCATTCCGCGGCGTTGGTGGCTTTTTGACTTTACGCATACAGCATTGGGAGGCGTCTTTGGTATACCACGGGTTTGCATATTTCAACGTTATACGCATTGGGCGGAGTTTTACTGAGCATTTACATTTACTGTTCGCGCATCGCGCCAGTATGAGATCGATCGAACAAACAAATTCCACTTCATAATATCTTAATGCACATCCTCACACGTTCCATGTACACCAATTGCGAGTTCGTCATCAAAAAGGCTTCCCCCCGGCACAACTTCTTCTCATCAGCCCTTGGAAGCGCGTATACTGTCAAGCACACGCAACCAGTCCCCCACACCAAACGTGACTACTGCACGCTAGAGTAAGCGTGCGGTACCGTGACCTCACGCCGCATAACCCACGATAGCGAAAACAACCAAGTACCCAAATCTACCCCTCCACACCCTAACAGCGAACATCCCTCTTCGCGCGCTTACCGCCGCTCAACCCTGAACCACCCGAAAACCCTCCGCGGTAGCTCTCACAGAAAATATCGGGTCTATCGGCACCGCTGTATCGCAAGTGTGTTACGAGAAAAGGCGAAGATTGTCTTATCAACCAGCCTACTCTTTTTTTTCTTCGTCAATTCAGCCTCACGATTGCCTGCATGCAGTAGAGGGGTCGAGATTTTCCTTTTCAGTTACCACAATGAGGCTTGGCTATACCGCTTTGTTCTGTTCTTGTATGCAGCCTCTCGCATGAGAGCGTGCCGAAAAAACATTTACCGGCATGAATGTATCCATGAGTACCCCTCACTTCCTCCATTCACGAAGCGCAGCGTGCCGAAATTCTTGCAGAAAAGCAGCATTTCCTGTTGCGCATCTTTACGCGAAATGGAGCGAGGCGGTGATCTACTTGGCTTACCTATCCCGAACTTGATACGATCTGACCTGACATAACCTGACCACTTGTCATGTCCATGCTGTTCTATCTCCTTCGGACGGCAGACCCTGCGTCTTGGGTTTTCTCTTTCACCCTTTCATCTAGGCGGGCGATCTTAGACTGCCGACTGCCGCAAAGGGTCACGCGGCGCGAGCAAGCTCTGTGGTGGGCTTTGATCCGGGGTCGGCAAAGTTGACGATAGTGCTGAATCATGAGGCTGGCGTGATTGCGCTCAGGCGGGGTCTCTTTTTGATGTTTCTCGTTACGACGGTGGGGTGGGGTGTGGGTTGGGCATGTGGCCTGTGTTTCGGGAAAAGAGTGGCTTTCTGCGCAGACGGGCCGAACTGTGGGGTCGTTGTGTGTACGCCCATGTCTTAGATTGGCGGAGGATCAGGAGATATGGGATGTGTATCCGAAGGCGTGATGATCATTCTCGATGCGATCGTAGAGGGCTTGGTATATGGCATGTTAAACCGCGGACGAGTAAGATGATGCGCAAGAGTTCGTCATGTTGCAGTATATGTCGTGCGCTGTCGCTGTGCAGCGCTGCAGCCGCTTGGCCTCATGGTAGACGCAGGGCAATGACAGTAAGGAAAGTCGATCTATCTGGCGTCTCGCTAAGTGGACCGACCACAGGCTGGGGAAGCTTACGCGTGGAGTAGGCTGGGTTTCAGGATGCATTGGAAGACAGTGGAGAAGAGTTCGCGGTAGTTATGGATTAAAGGAACATGATCGCTGCGCTGGAAACAGCCGTCGCTGCAAAACACACAATACAGACTGCGTCTCCAATGGAGGCCGTCGTTCTGTGGACAAAAAACTCGTACCTGCAACACTCACGCGCGTGATATGCCCAGACCTAACGCGTCTTGATGACGTCGTTATTTGCGACGCGACTCCAGCTTTGATGAACCATGCACCACATGCATTCGCACCCACACCTACCCTTACCATCTCAACCCCCCTGAAGCATTACAATGCCGCGTCTAGACGAAAATACCCAGCAAACACTCCGCGATGCAGAACAAGGAATCAAGAGGCGAACAGCGGGTGCCTGGGACAGTTTCAGCAACTTCGCCCTACGCGACAACGTGCTCGAAGTAGCTGTAGGATTAATGTACCACGGTCCTACAAAAACACATATACCTCTACTGTACTAATCCAAGCAACCAGTCTCGCAGCCTCCTTCACGGCCTGTGCAAACTCTCTCGTCTCCTCCATAATACTACCCATAATCTCCCTCCTCCCTTTCCTCTCTCGCAACCTCGACTCCAAATTCGCCATACTGCAATCCGGGCCCAACTACAATGTCTCCATCTCCAACGGCTACAACACGCCTAAACAAGCCATCGATGACGGTGCTGTGGTACTGGCTTATGGAGACTTCCTAGATAAAATTATTAGGTTTCTGGCGATCGCGCTGGCGCTTTGGGTCATCGCGCTGGCATATTCGAGGGGTAGCGGGGACAATATTGTGAAGAAGCAGGTCAAGTGCAAGTTCTGTAGAAAGTACATTAGTGAGAAGGCTAAGAGGTGTGTTAACTGTACCAGTTGGGTGGATGGGAGAGAGGACCGGGGGTAGGATGTAGTTGGGGAGAGTAAGTGGTTTACTGAAAGCTGAAGAAGGTACCTAAGCATGATCGGTCTTTGGGATCATCCAACAATTGTACTAAGCATGTTATGCAAAAGATGATACGATAAATACCATTCAAAGACGCGATAATAAGGAAACACCTTCCACCGCGCGTCCGGCAACTTACCGTACTTCCAGTTGAATCCATGCCATAAATTTTTATGAACTAGGATGATACCTCCCAATGGATACTTCTTTTGACCACTGGTGCTTCGATATCCCTAGGAAGAATCATGTACAGCTTCGCGGTTTTCTTCGTCACTCAAAGAGCCGCGGATCCAACCAATCTGGATTGACGGATGTTTTGTTGCAGACGGAAAACACCATATCTAGTAAGTTCTACATTGACCATCGATTGCTTATCACCCAATGCTGTGTAACCACTCCTGACGCACTGCATGTACTGTACCTAGGTAGTCTGCATTGGAGTACAACATCTGCAGTCATCAAACCGACCCCGCAAAATTTACTCAATTGAGAAACTTTCTATCGCTCATCTCAACGAGGCCCCTTGTCTCGCAAGGAAGGCCGTTCTTAATAACAAACTACCTCGGAGCACAGAACAACATGATCCTAACCCTCTAGAAACTTCGCAACAAATTGCGCAACCTCTGTAGGCCGCTCTACCATGGGCAAATGTCCCGCACCATCAACAATCTTCAGTTCAACACCACTACCAAGCTTATCCGCCATGTTCTCCTTCATGGTTTTAGGCAGCACGCCATCGCCAGCACCTACCAAGAACGCGCCCTTACCCTTGTACCCAGCCATCTTCTCCCTGATATCATACTGATGCAGCGCCTTGACGGAATCACGGAAACCAGGTAAAGAATTCGTCTTGACCATGTCCTTGACACGTTGAACCTTCTTCGCTAGCTCCGCATCGTCGTAAGATTCCTTGGCGAACCAGCGACGGACTGTCACCTCTGCGAGTTCTTCGCCAACAATGGGTTCGCCGGATGCGGCCTTTAGGCCTTCTTTCTCAGCGACGCCGACACGCTCGTTCCAGGCATTGGCATTGGAAGGTGGGGCGAAGGCATTGGTGTCGCAGCCTACAAACGCTGAGATACGGTCTGGGTAAGAGAGACCTGCGTTGAGTGCTGTTGCGCCGCCAAGAGAGACACCGACGATAGATGCTTTCTTAACGCGGAGGGCGTCGAGCAGTGCGATGACGTCGTCTGTGAGGGTGTGAACTGAGATGGGTGATGTAGAACTTGACGGAAGCGTATGACGTCCACGAGTGCTATAGCGGAGGATGCGGTATTTGTCGTTTGTAGCTTTTGAAAACTCGGCGACGAAGTCGTCCCAAATACCATAATCGACGAGGATACTGTTCGAGAGAACAAGTAAAGGCGCATTGGGATCGCTAGAGCCTTCGAGGCGGTACTGGAGTTCCACACCGTCTTTCGTTGTGATGAAGCTCTCAATCACCGGTCGCTTGTCTGATGTCGTGTGCGCTGGATATGTCTTGACCTTGCCTTCTGTGCTTTCCACTGGTGCCGTGTCTTTGCTTGTCAAACTTTGTAGGTCGCGCTGCGCAGCCCCAAACGTATAGTACAAGTCATAAACCCTCCTCTTCCGTTCTTTCACAACATCTTTGTAGATCTTGTCGCACCAATCTGTTGTGGTAGCAGCCTTAAACTCGGGCCCTCCTAGTCCATTCTGCGGCGCATACTCATGCAGCGCAAGGAACTCTTTCTCTGACTTGTGTCCGCTTTCGAGATCTAGGTAAGATGTGACAAACCTCCTAGTCCGCCTCCAGCCTGGGACCTTCTGCAGGAGCGGTACATGCTCCTCGTGATACCATTTCTTCAGCTCTTCTTCCTTGTCCGCGCCGTCTTGCAGCGCAAAGCTTACGGCTATCATCACGTTCTTCTCCCCCTCGTTTTCTACTTTCTGCAGGTCCTTGAAGTCCTCGCCTTTCCACTCGCCGAGTAAGTCGTACGACCGTCTGTCCACGAATATCTGCTTCATGGTATCTCGTTCACGTTGCGTCTGCACCGGTGCGCTCCGAAGCTTCGTGTACGGTTCCCTCGTGAGCCATTCGAGCTCGTCGAAATCGTAAATGGCCATCCATTCTGGTTTATCTTTGGAGCCGGACGCATTCTCGAGGTCGGTTGCGCGGTAGCGGAAACCGTTGTTGCAGAAGGGCAGGCGGAGACGGTTAGGGCCGTGTTCGTTTTGGTACCTTGGCGGGAAGAGCGTCAGGTGGGATCGCGAAGAAGCAAGAATGCGACTATGGAGGGTCAACTTACCAATCATGGAACTGTGCTTCAGGCAAGCCCTCCTTGGGTTGCATCGTCACGTACAAAATGCCTGGTGTTGATTTGGATGCCATGGTGTCTGTTGCAGTGGGGTAGCTGTGACTTCAGTATGAGTGTTGCAAGCAGTAGGTAAACAGGTGAAGAAACGCAAGAGGATGGAAGGTATATGGATTCGATTAATGCAACTATGCTACTCCAAATCCCTCGTGCGAACCATGACGAAGTTGGGGAAAGAAGAGGTCCCCCGATGACATTTGCCGGCTGGCGTTAGTTCGGGCGACGGCGGTACCGCTGCCCCTCATTCTTCCGAGGCTGAACATAGACCCGCCCCTTCCACGCTATGTTTCGGGACGTGGAGGATTATCAGTACCTACTCCCACCAGAGCTATTCCGAGTGCATGACCTTGAGGAACTTGAGCTGCTGGCGCATTTAATTCTATCCAAAAACATCTTTTATTGGAAAATGTGTTTCTTGCCTACATCAACTTAGTCGTACCAAATCGCATTCATGCCAAAGCCCTTCTCGCCAATCTCTAATCTCGCGACGCGTGCCAAAAATTCGTCGTGCCATCTATATATCTCCACCCCACCCTTCTCATCGTCTGTAAGCGCTAACCACTCATCCGACCACGGACATGGTGATACAGCGTTCGAGTGGCCACCAGAGGTCGGTGTAGGGTTAAGGCAGATTTGTCGCTCAATGGCGCCTGATGGAGCGATCTTGAAGGCGGCAATGTAACCAGTGAGAGAGAAGGAGTTGGATCGGGAAGTCGCGAACAGGTAGTTTGAGGATTTGGTGAGGAAACAAACGTCCGAGCGGTACATAGTGTTTGCATTGGGGATACCTGAGATGTTCATTAGCTTTTGGGGTGATCATGAGTAGAGAAACAGCTTACCAGGCGGGATCAACGGGTACGTCTTGTGTGTGTAGACGGGCAACTTCGTCTGCGGGTCAATCACATACTCGCACAACCGATTTCCTGCCTCCATCAAGGCATAGAGGTAGTTTCCAGATGGATGCATCTCTACCCATCTTGGATGGTCTTTCGGCGCCGGAGCCTCAGTGAAGCCTACTGTTTCCAGTCTACCCTCGTCGTCTATCTTCTTGTGACACCATACTCGGTTCGCCCACATGTCCGCGCTGTAGAGGTAGGTCTCGGAGGGATCGAAGACCATGCCATGGATCGCAGTCTTCTCGCAGTACTCGAAATTCTGGATGTTCTCTTTGATGTGTCCTGAAGGGTTGACGGAGAAGATGTTGCCGTAGCCAGCGAAGTCGTAGAACGGGTTGCAGTATACAGCGTATGGGGGCTTCTGGGCGGGAAGGAGAAAGATGGCACGTGTCTTCGTGTCAGCATCATTTGCTCTGGCTGCGAAGGTTGTCAGTAGTGATATGCGATGCTCATGCTGTGTGGCTTACGGTGTCCGCCCATGGGAAAGCTTCCAGTATGTACAATCTCGCTCGGGCTCTTGACTTCATGCGAACTCCATTTCTTCATCGAAGCACCGTAGATGTTCTTCCTCTTGTGCTGTGTTTCTGGTGATCAGCCATTGTTGGTTGCATCGATGTTCGGGAGTTGCGCGCATACGTCGAAAGCCATCCAGCTTATGGGCTCATCCTCTGGAATCTCCGTCTTCTTCACCAGCTCCAGCTTAAGTGTCTCATCGTCAAACGCGACCGTGATTATCACACCCGGCGGCGTCCAAGTGCCGATCATGAGATGATGCTTGACCATGTTGGCGGTTCCTTCTTTTTACAGGACGTGTCTTCCCCGTTGGCGAACAAGTTGCGTGGGAAACTACAGGACGAAATGTCTGCCGGACCTGCCCTCCACCTCTCAGTAAGTCGGCCATCGCGTCGCGTCGTCAAACTTCCGGGGTCCCCCTCCGAGGGCGGGGCATTAGTGCAGATGACGCTAAATCTGAGGGAAAAAGGGCGGATAAGTCTTCTTCCACATCGGCTGCCTTTTGATTCGCCAATCCGCTCAGGTCAAGGCGGGGCAATCGTCGCGACATGGCGCAACCTTCGGCACTGTGGCTGTTCGCGCTCACAGCACGCTTGAAAGCCGGTACAGCATGCCGCCAGACGATTTGGACAAGCTCTCGCCTGATGCGCAGCTAGAGGGACGGCCATTGCAAACGGCACCAGTTCGGTTGGCTACGGCCGGCTGGATTTCAGCTACTATTTATTAAGCTGCTCGTGCCCCGGACTTTGATGTCTAACTGCACTACTCCATCTCTAACACCTTCTTGATACCTTTTGTTGTTTGATCTTCCCTATCCTCTACATACTCAAGATGGACCCAAACACACAGACAGCGCCTGAGCCTCAGGAGAATGGCCAGCATCGCTTCGATCCTAACTTCACCGACGCCGTCATCAACGCCATTGGCCCAAATGTGCCAGAGCGGACACGATTCGTCATGGGAAAGCTGATCAGGCATCTCCACGACTTCATCCGTGAGGTCGAGCTTACCAACGAGGAGTGGTTCGAGGGTGTACGATTCGTCAACTCTATTGGCAAGACCACAACTTCCACCAGGAACGAGGCGCATCGTATCTCAGATGTTCTGGGCGTAGAATCGTAAGTCTTCAAGCTCGAGCAAGCACAATCAACATACTGACTCCGCCATAGATTGGTCGACGAGATTGCACACAGGCACATTAACGAGTCTGGAGAGACACCTACTTCATCCACAATCCTCGGCCCCTTCTGGTCACCACACTCGCCATTCCGCGACCTTGGCGACACCATCATTCGCAACCCACACCCCGATGGCCAGACAACTCTCATGCATGGTGTAGTCAGGGATCTTGACACCAAGAAGGGCATCCCCAACGCAGTCATCGACATCTGGCAAGCAAGCGCCAACGGAAAGTACGATTTCCAAGATCCGGAGAACCAAGAGCCAAACAACCTGAGAGGAAAGTTCACTACAAACGAGAATGGCGAGTACTGGTACTACTGCTACAAGCCAACAGCGTACTCGCTACCTACTGATGGTATGTTCAATTCCAAAGACCTTGCACGAGCACAACTGACACTCAACAGGCGCTGCTGGTCAACTTTTCAAGACCCTCGACCGCCACCCTTTCCGTCCCGCACACATCCATCTCATGGTTTCCGCCGAGAACTACAAGCCACTCATCACACAACTATACCCCCGCGATGACCAATGGGTCACCAATGACACCGTCTTTGCGGTCAAGGACGACCTGCTGCTAGACTTCGAGCCCAGCAAAGACCCCAAGGCGAAGCTCGACTTGACATACAATGTTACCCTTGCACCAGCAGGCAAGAAGACGACCAGGTTGGAGGGTATTCCCAGGCTACCGAACGTGTTCGACGAGCAGAGCAGGCTGTAAGATAGATAATTTTTGGCGGCGTTGCATATGTAAATATTTCACAGTGGGATTTGCGGAAAATTTGGCATGAATGAATCTATAATCAAGTGCTCTTTTGACGACTTGACTCTCACGAGATTGGGACAATGGCTATCTCCGATTTCATATTTCGCATAGTTTAGGTACTGCGCATCTAGCTATTCCAGATACCGGAAAGCATATCCGTCACAGTCCCTGCATGTGCATAGAGTGGATATATAAATCTCTCGATTGTCCTGTGTTTCCCAACTTCCAATGTTCCTCCGCCTATTTCTGTCAAACCTCGTACGTCCTCAACCTCGTACCATACCATCCGGCCTCCACGTATGAACCTTGGCTTCAACAACCTCACCAAAGATGCGCGTCCCTTACGCCCCAAACGAGCCCCCAAATGAAGAAGCTCGCCCCATCTACGAGCGCATCGCCGAGCGACGAAAGCCCCGCCCCCTCATCCCTCTCGACCTCGCCCTCCTACACAACCCCGCCGTAGCGGACGGCTGGAACTCGTTCATCGGCGCGATACGCACCAAGACCAGCTTACCTGCCAATCTCAAGGAACTGGCCATAAGCCGTATTGCCGTGCTGAACCATGCAGTTCATGAGTGGGATGTACATGCCGCTCTAGCCTTGAAAGCTGGCGTGTCCAAACAAGTACTACAGACTGTATTTGATTTACCTGTCACAAGACATGGGGAAGTGGAGAAGGAAGGTCTGTTAGGATTCAGCAAGGAGGAGTACGCGGTCATGGTTTACACGGATCAGATGACTGTGGGTGTGCAAGTGGAAGATGGGGTTGCGGAGATGGTCAAGTCGGTGCTGGAGGATACCATGGTTGTCGAGTTGACAGCGACGGTTGCAGCGTATAATGCCGTGAGCAGGTTTTTGGTGGCCTTGGATGTAGGAGAGTGCAACGACCGGGGCATGAAGAAGGTTGATGAGCTCTGAAGGGTTGCTGAAAATGTACATGTTCATCGACGCGTGTGACGGGAGAGCGGAACTGGGCCGCTTCATCTTCCCCAGACGCTAGCCTCTCCGCAATACCATGAGTTAGGAAGGTGCCTCGGTCCATCAGCCGTCGCAAACCGAACGGGTATTGTCGAAACATGCCACCACTTTCTTCGTTCATGAACTCTTTTTTTTTTTCAGTTCCTCAATCTTCATAGTAAATAGCAATCACAATGACGTCCCTAGCCCCCCGCCTCTTCACGCGCAGCATCCGTCAAACACGCGTCCGTCCCGCCGCCGTCTCCACCACCGCGCGGTACGCATCGACAAAGCATCCAAAAGCCTTCACACCACCCACGCAATCCGACCTCGACGAACTCCGCGATTCAGTCCGTGACTTTGCCCAGCGAGAGATCCCCGAAGAAGTCGCCGCGCGTACCGACAAGCAGAATGAATTCCCCAACGACATGTGGCAGAAGTTTGGCGAGGCCGGCTTCCTGGGCATAACAGCCGACGAGGAGTTTGGCGGACTGGCCATGGGATACCAAGCACACTGCGTCGTCATGGAGGAGTTGTCACGGGCGAGCGGCAGCATAGGACTGAGTTATGCGGCGCACAGCCAGTTGTGTGTCAACCAGTTGATGCTGAACGGGAATGCGGAGCAGAAGAAGAAATACTTGCCAGCCTTGATCAGTGGAGAGAACATCGGAGGATTGGCTATGAGTGAGCACAGCGCGGGGAGTGATGTAGTCAGCATGAAGACGACGGCCAAGGAGGTGGATGGTGGCTATCTGCTCAATGGAACCAAGATGTGGATCACGAATGTAAGAGTCTCTCGTCACAAGTCTTCTGAAGAGGAACACGCATACTAATACAAACTTCACAGGGCCCAGACGCGCACGTAATAGTCGTATACGCCAAGACTGAACCCAACGCCGCTTCCAAAGGCATCACAGCCTTCATCGTCGAGACCTCCACAAAGGGTTTCAGCGTCGCCAACAAACTAGACAAACTCGGCATGCGCGGCTCCAACACAGGCGAACTGGTCTTTGAAGACGTCTTCGTCCCCAAGGAGAACGTCCTTGGCGAGATAAACCGCGGCGTCCGCGTCCTGATGGAGGGCTTAGATCTCGAGCGCCTTGTCCTCTCCGCAGGACCACTCGGCCTCATGCAAGCCTCGCTCGACAACGTCCTGCCCTACACACACCAAAGAAAGCAGTTTGGCACACCAATTGCACACAACCAGCTTGTACAGGGCAAGTTGGCGGATATGTACACAAAGTACCGCGCTAGTCAGGCCTTCACATACAGCGTGGCACGCGCCGTCGATGAGTCGCATGCCAGCCCTGATATCAAGACACAGGACTGTGCGGGAGCGATTCTATATGCCGCAGAAAGGGCAAGCGAGGTTGCGGCTGATGCGGTCCAACTGATGGGCGGTATGGGATACATGAATGAAGTTCCTGTAGGAAGGATACTCAGGGACGCCAAGTTGTACGAGATTGGTGCTGGAACAAGTGAAGTGAGGAGAATGGTCATCGGACGAGCGTTCAACAAGGAGTGGAAGCAAGAGATATGAAGACCAACACAATGACGAAGTGATGCGCATCAAAACAAAAGTTAAATACCCGGTATGAATTGTGTATAGAAATGCAAATCATACACGCCTCGATATGATTACAATGACATGGTGTCCGTCAGATACGATCACCTATCAAAAGTCCTCTCTAACTCTTACTTTGTTCTAGTCCGCGTGCAACCCGCAATCATGATCTTCCTTTCCCAACACTGCCCATCACTCACATCAATCCTGACCCATCGTATCCTTCTGCATCGGATCCAACCGCGTACTTCGGTTGGTCCTCGGGCTTCAGCGACTCGGGATCAATGTACCGGCATGTAAGCGCAAACCGCAGCTTACCCGCATGTTCAACAGCATGCTCATAGTATTTCTGTACATCCGCACCGTGCATGACGACGATATCGCCATGTCCGAGCTGCATGGTCAGCACATCTCTCGCAGTGCCTCTGTGAGTGAGCCCCAATTGCTTGGGAATCTGCTTCCTCCTCGTGTTCCATGCCTTGGTGTCTGATCTTTTGAGGACGTCAAGAGCAAGTTGTAGCGCGAGACGAGCCTCTTATTGTTGGCACCCTGGGATTGGAGCAGCGTCATCGTACAGACTTACGACAGAAGACACGCCATGATAGTGACGTGCTTTCATTCGGATCCGCATTGTCCCTGGTGCCCCCAAACTTAATGTCGCAATAGTCGGGCCGAGACCGAACTCGCCGTCATCATGGTAATTGATCTTCTGCTCTTCGAAGTACCCTGACGCCAGGACCTCATTGAACTCCTTCTCTTGCCACTCTTGGCAAACTTCGTCCATGCTCTTGCCATTCTCCTCTGCTAGAAGCAGTTTAGCGGCCCAGTTCAGTCGACTACGGGTGCTTGTTATTGGGCGAGCTGCTCCATCAAAGGGGCGAGATGCTGTAGCTGCGATGAACTTGTACGGCATACCGTAGTTGACAGCGAAGTGACGGCAGTAGTTGGGTCCCTTCAGCTGGCCATTAGGCATAGATCGGCGCTGTAGCCCAATATCTGTTTGTTGGAGTTCCTCAAACATCGCGTCTGGTCCGCCGTCTTCTTCAAGAACAGTCTTGTTAGCAACCATGTGCGCTATGAAACCGTTTACTCCAGGTATCTCGTAACGGTTGATGCGATACCCATGCTCAAAGGACACTTTCAACTCAAGCCTAGGTGACATCGTATCTCTGGATAACGTGTAGCTACTAGTGATTGGCCAGAGTGGGTCACGAAGGGAGAGTGCAGGGATGAGCGTATGTGGATGTGTTCTTGTATATCGACATGCGGTATTGGAGCACTCCCAGTTTGTCCAGTTCAAACGGGACGTACAGCGTCCACAGTCCGGGCAGACCATGCCAGACCAAAATGCGACTGATGTATTCTCACCTGGAACAGCGTGCCTAGACAGTTCAGCGGCATTGGATGCTAGAGGGTAGTCATGATCGTCATTGTGCCAAGGTGTCTTCTGCTTGAGGAAGCGCGGATCGTATACCAAGGACGCTTCTTTGGGCTCCTGTGCTGGCATACTTCTTCCAGGTTCGGCTGTGTTAGTGTAAATTTTCCAAAAAGCGGTGCATGCCGACTGTAGACACATCCACCCATTTAGATACACCTGTGGAGACTGAAGATTGCAGCTTCCACATACCTTCTCGACTGGAGATGGCAGTGAGCCGAGCTCTATCACTTCCTGCGCATCCTTCGCCCGCCACCAAGACTCTTTCTTCGTGTTCAACTTCTCGAATCGGTACCGCACAATCTTGCTGTCACCACTCTTTTCAGCCCAGACGTGGGTGGGTTTGAAGTAATCCAGAACACAGTACTGGTGCGGTGGCTTCGATGGGATATTTGGGCTGTCAACTCCAGTAATAATAACGACTGGGTTGCGGTGGATCATGCAATTCCTCAATCCCAAAGCAGCAGAATCTTCTGATTGATCCCTTTTCGACTTCATCTCACCAGAGTCTATGTCTTTCATGAGACCACCACCTGCTCTGGAGAGGACGACATTACTGTCCATGTAGTCTCGATTATGCGCAACCTTATCGAACATAAAGCCTCTCGCAAAACCACCGGTAGAGTAGCAGGCACTTTGATATGCGCGATAGTAATGTAGTGTCTCGCAAAGCTCTTGTCGTCCATCTGCCCATACTTCCGGTTGTCCGTATGGCTCTGGCTTGTTTGGACCTTTGTTCTGTTGGACAAGGAGCCGCTCGGTTATATCACGGAGGTAGTCGGTGTCGGATGTATAGACTTGTTCTCCAACGAGAGGGCCACTCAGTTCTTCGCACTCCGTTGTTGCTTCCGATGCCGCATACAAACTCGGAAGTGGCTCGGTCTTACCACGACATGACATCTCAATCTGGTTGTGCACTTGGCCATTTTCAAGCCCAACGTCCAACTTGCTGTATACAGTATTCGCGTCGCGGTAGAATGCCGAGTCGGGTGTCAGGTAGGTGAAGCGATCGTGGATCTCGGGCGAACCCGGCGAAGATTGAGTTTGCGTATGATGGACAAACGCTGGGGTACCACGGATACTTTCTTCGGGTGTCTTCGGCTCACGATGTTGTGATACAGTCGCTTGGCTAGTGAGAGGGTTTTCTGGTGCAGTAGATGGGGTTGCAACATCTTGACTAGATGCAGGTACAGGTTCTGGTGTACGCTGAGCACATTGGCCTCGTCTGTCCAGCGGAGGCGAGTTCTGTATATTCTTGTAGGAAAAGACCTGTTTGCATGTTAGTTTTACCGCTAGGAACTTGGATTAGCTCTACAAACAGGACTCGAGGGCAACGATGCTGGTGGGGACGACAGCTCACTCTCGGACTCGTCGCTGTATTGTTGCCTCGGTTGATTTGTAGGTATAGCGAGTGTCGAGCCTGTAAGCGGAATCTTCAGGCGGACTATCTTGGACAACCTTGCTGGTAGTCCCGGCGAGTCATCGACGATGTTAACGACAGTATCAGTTACCGCATGAGGCTCAATCCACGATCGCCGGCTTGTAGAATTCTTCGTAGCCAATGACCGTTTCGAAGGAGGTTTTATCAGCGGTTTCGTGACTCGTTTTGGCGTCTCTTTTTTCTTGGAGACAGGTTGATACAATTGATCGGCGAACCTTTCTGGGCGTTTCCTTGCTCGCCTGGGGCGCTGAGAAGCCCTACTTCCATAGTTACCGCGATCTTCTTGCAATTCGGCTGCCGCTGTTTCTGCAGTGACTTTGGGCGGTTTCACTACTTGTGTAACCTCCCAGTTGGAGTCGCCGTCATCAAACTTGCGCTTCGAGGATGCCATGGCGAGATGAGTGAGAATGGTAGTTGCAGGTTGATAGAAGAAGTCTCGATTGCTTACAAGCGATAGTTAAAGGGACGAGAAAGACAAAATGAGTCTAGAAACAACGGAGTGAAATCAGAGGTAGTGAAAAGGATGGTGTCATGTCTGTCATGCGGACAATACAACCTCAATTGAGCTTGTGCGACAATTGAAAGACAGCGGTAAGGAAACGCTGAGACCTGCGGTGCCTCTCTCACCTGAGCGACATGATGGGAGTGAGCAAACGTGTGAGGTTATGGAAGTGAAGAGCTGTCATCGGGGATCGCTCTTGCTGTACCGTACCATACTCGGTGATAGCACCTTCGAGCGCACCCGAGAACCATGGCTGAAAGGTATGACGAGCCTCACGCCTCTATACAATATTTGATCGCAAGTATGAAACTTTACATTCTAGGTGCTTATGTCGGGATTGTGAGTCGTGTCTTGCCGTCGCCGACCCAAGGCCGGAATTAAGGACGGAGTAGCCGCATTAGTCCATGACCTCGGTACTACCCCAGCTTTCCCCACAATTGGGGGCTGGCATAAGCTGTCGGCTGCGAAAGAGACGGCATCCGACGATACTAACGTCATTGAGGAAGATGGGCGCATGCGTTAAAGCTGGAGCGATGATTCCTCCTTTAACCTCTGCCTGCATCGCCAATTCGCGGCTTACCATATGTGCGCACCTGCATCTCTCTCAAAGCTCCGCGCATAGCTGACGTACCGTTAGACACGATCCAATATGCCTTTCCATCCTCCTTCATGGGTGCCGCAGCTTCCCTTCGACCCGCCAGATTCGATTCCCATCTGCGACTTTATGCTAGATGAGCATTATGGCCGTCATCCGCTTGGCTACTCGAATAAACCCTTCATCTGCGGACTGACCGGAAAGGCTTACACATGTTTGGACATGCGCGACCGTGTTGACTATCTTGCCCGGGGTCTGTCAAAAGAGCTTGGCTTCCATCCAAACGAGGCAACCGAGTGGGACAAAGTCATTGCTGTCTTCTCCGTCAACACGGTAAGCATATTTTGATCGACACATCCACGAGGATACTGACAACCGGCAGATCGATACGCTCCCGTTGGCATGGGCCACGCATCGTTTGGGCGGCATCCAATCACCCGCCAATGCCGCATACAGCGCCGCCGAACTCGAGTACCAATTGAAGAACTCAGGCGCAAAAGCCCTCTTCACCTGTGTTCCCCTATTGGAGACTGCGCGACTAGCAGCGAAGAAGAGTGGCATCCCCGAGAATCGCATCTACATATTGGAAGTGCCGGAATCGTTCGCTGGAAAGAAGACACCACAAGGGCTTAAGACAGTAGACGACCTCATTCGTGAGGGCCAGAAGCTTGATCGTCTGCCAAAGTTAAATTGGGAGAAGGGCGATGGTGCTCTGCGAACGGCGTTCCTTTGCTATTCCAGCGGTACCTCTGGTCTACCCGTAAGTAGCGAACATCTTCGTGTACACGCAAGTCCACACTGACATCCTGTGCAGAAAGGTGTCATGATCTCACACAGAAATGTCATTGCCAACACAAGTAAGACGCCCCGAATCCGCATCATGCAGTAGCTAACCACAAATAGTGCAAATTTGCACTTACGAGAAGCCATTCAGAGATACCATCATCAACGATGTGCGCAACCAGTCAGACTATACTGAGATCGCCCTCGGTCTTTTGCCCATGTCACATATCTATGGCTTGGTTGTCATCTGCCATGCGAACGTCTACCGTGGAGATGGTGTGGTGGTTCTCCCCAAGTTCGAGTTTGCATCGACTCTCCAGGCGATTCAAGACTACAAGATCAACTCGTTGTTTTTGGTTCCACCTATCATCATCTTGATGACCAAGAACAAGCCCCTACTAGACAAATACGATCTCAGCTCCGTGTGGTCGATCTTTACTGGTGCCGCACCCTTAGGACAAGAGACGGCAGAGGATCTAGCGAAGATATTCCCCACCTGGAAGATTAGACAAGGATACGGCCTCACAGAGACGTGTACCGTTGTTTCTTCGTCTTCCCCTGACGACATCTGGTTCGGATCTTCTGGCTCCCTACTCCCCAGCATCGAGTGTAAGATTGTCACCATCGAAGGTGCTGAGATCACCGGTTATGACCAGCCTGGCGAGCTGCTGGTCAAGTCGCCTTCAGTCGTGCTAGGTTATCTGAACAATGACAAAGCCAACAAAGAGACTTTCCAAGATGGGTATATGCGTACCGGAGATGAGGCTGTTTTCAAGAAGGGACCAAACGGTCACGAACATGTCTTCATCGTCGATCGCATCAAGGAGCTCATCAAGGTTCAAGTACGGGCACAAACCATTTCATGGCGACATATGCTGACAAACCCCTAGGGCCACCAAGTTGCACCTGCGGAGCTTGAAGCACATCTCCTGACGCATCCTGCTGTGAATGACTGCGCCGTCATCCAGATCCCTAATGAGAAGACTGGAGAGGTACCAAAAGCCTTTATCGTCAAATCGCCATCAGTCGGCTTGGAAGAAAATGACCGTATCCTCGCGCGCGAGATTCAGAAGCACGTTGAAGAACACAAGGCGCGATACAAGTGGATCAGTGGTGGTATTGAGTTCATCGACGAGATACCGAAGTCGCCATCAGGAAAGATTCTACGGCGGCTACTGAGAGACAAGGAGAAGGAAAAGAGGAGACAAGCAGGCAGCAAGCTGTAAGAGAACAACACGCAATAATATACTGTTTGTGTAGATGCATAGCTTCAAAGTCTACCTTGCTACTAGGCTCCGTGCAACCCCGTTCGTGAGACTATCGTAGGCTGCAGCGGTTCATCTTCTCCGCACTTGTTTGATTCCCTCGTGAAACGTCGTGATATTAACGCGTCTGTTCCATTTGACCCGGTGTATATCGGCGTTGCGCTCATACTAACGCAACCCAGCTCCACCCCCTGAAGCAGATTTTTGACGAACCCCGCCACTTTTCGGCGACCATCTCCCTCTAGCTATGGACAAACCATTAATATATACGGTATAATTTTTCTTTTGCACCATCAATCAACCAAACAAATCGGTTACAATCGGTTTTGTAGTGTAGCGGTTATCACTCCGGATTCTGATCTCATCATCAGTGTCTTCCGGCAACCCCGGTTCGGTAAGCCAATTCAGCCCCCAGTTAATTCTGGTCATCTGCTAATAATAATTCAGATTCCGGGCAAGACCTTCAGAACTCTCTTTTTGCCGAGTGTTCGATTCCGGCAAGAGCTTCTTTTTGCAAGCGTAGAGGTTGTGGGTACGTAGAGAAGTGAAGGGGGTATAGTTGGTGTGAGTTGGGTGGTGGTGGACTTGGAAGATTTTTTGCCATTTCAACTTGCAGAAACCTGAACATCATGACAACGCATGTAAAATAATAAATGTATTTGCATACATGCTACAGACGGATATCCGCCTTCACCCTCCCCATATACACTATGCATGCTTAGGCTTGCTGCGTCACGTTCTGAAGGTTCGGGTGCCGAAGTTTCGCCATTTTCGTCTCCACCCTAGACACCACACAATTTATCGCAGAAGCAAAAAAGCCAACATGTCTCATGAGGAATAACAACTCTACATTGTTGCATTGCCAAACGCATCTCTATTCAATGATTGTAATCTTTTTTCATGATCGTTATTGTGCAGAACTCCAAGTCCAAAAAATTCAACTTCACCAAGCTCTCCCAGCCAACAAAAAGCAAGCTACTACACGTTGTGTAGTAGATATTGCAGATGACTCAGCCGAGGTTTGAACTCGGGACCTTCAGTGTCCAAGAAACAACTGTTGTTGTTAGACTGACGTGATAACCAACTACACCACCGAGCCCGCTTTGATGACTAACAGCCAAATTACAAACAATATAATGTTGTTAGAAACGCTCGGCGAGGCTCGCAAGAACAAACCTCGAGTGAATATAGCTCTGATGGGATGCGGATAGCTCGGTGGCACTATCCCCACTCCGAGAGATCAGGGGACGAATAGAATGGACATATTAACGTCACGACATTGCACGAAGATGAATAGACAATGGCCGATAGCGGTATTGATTGTAGCATTCTTTGCAAACTATCAACTTTAACCAGCTAACTTCTTCCCAACCAACAACATCCACAACCAAGTAGCGAGTGAGTGCGAGATGCGCCCAGACTCAACGCCCTACCAAGACAGAGTGGGCGTGGAACTCTCATGCAAGGAAAAGACACAAAAAGGAGACAAAAGGCGCTCAAAAACCATGTGGTAAAGGTAGCGAGAGGGGTATCAAGGGTGCGCAGCTGCGAAAGCCGGCTTGGAGAAGAAACATTACAAATAGGCGGTATAGATGATATGTTGTGCGCGAGCACGACCGCTTTCTAGCCTTGCAGGCAGGCCCCTAGGGTATGTTGAGCGAGTGGGAGAACAGAAGACTGAGAAATAAAGTGACAGCAAGGAAAAATGCAGTCGAGGCCAGTGTGCCTCCGCAGTGATGACGTGTGGTCGTATGGGTCGTAGCCCTAGTGGTAGGAAAGATGTGAGAAGATACAAGTGAGCGATGGGAAACAACCCGAAGACAAACAGAGCAACGCACGACAGAAGACAACCGATCGACCGTAAAGCATACCCGTCACACATGAGCGAGTCGTAAGCGCAGTGAATTACTTTAGAAGCCACGGAAAGGATCGTTCGAGTCGAAGTCGAAGAGACCGCCGCCACGATTAGACTGGTCACGTGTGCTGGCGCTCCACTGGCTGCTGCCACGACGACGACGGTGCTGCATGTGCGGTGCTCGCCCGCCGTAGCTGCTCAATTGCTTTGGGTCACCAAGAGCGTTGTCGATGAAAGCTTCCATGCGAACGGTGCCCATGGTGTCAAAAAAGTGTTGACGAGTAGACGTGCTGGCCTCTGATGTTCGAGAACTCATAGCACCGCTGTTGGGGTTGTAGACCGAAGAAGGCACGGACGGTGGTACGCCAGCGCTGTACATGTCGGAAGAGCCGTTTGAGTATACGGAGGGTACGTGCTGATGTGAGAAACTGCGGAACGGGACACTTGGTGGAGGTGCGCTGGGTCCAGTAGAGCTTCTCTTCCTACCGTGTTGAGGACCACGGGGAATGACCGGAGGGCTAGCAGCGTCTGGCATAGCGCTTTCAAACCCAGCAAGAGAAGGTAGACTAGGCATTGGTTCATCCTGAGATGCATAGCGAGCCATGACCGGATTGGTCCTACCCTTAGCAAGGCGCACAGAATCCTGAACGCGGCTGCGGCGGAGTGTTGCGCCCTGCTGGCGTTGTGGTTCATCGACTGGCGGTGGTACAGGTGGCAGAGAGCCAAGATCTGGCATCGGTGCGCTCGAGTGAGCGAGGAAGGAAAGTGCTGTCAGCCACAGGTAGTGCCTTTCGCGTGTGGAGGTAGTGAACTTGAGTGCACGAGCAGGGGTAAGGATAAGAATGGAGCGGTTGAAGAGTGTTTCGTTCTTGGGAGGAGGGCAGTTGTCGGCGACATCGAGAACAGACTGAATGACGACTGGAGATATGTTAGTATAGACAAATTTGTGACCAGTCTTGAAACTCACGTTTGCGACCACTCTTCCCCATCAACGCAGAGCCAGTGGTTGGCTGCTTACTACTCCACAGAATGGCTCTTTCGTATGGCGAAATCCAGACCCAGCGCTTATGCCTTACACCATGGTTGGCCAATGAAGCCTCTTCTGCGGCGCGACTGACGTCTGCAGGCGTGTCAGGGCCACCAAATGCCTTCCTCTTACGAACGTATTTCCACATGAATTCTCCAATCATGGCTGCAGCAATCGCATCGACCACACTAGTGTGCGATACTGCGCTGTTGGTGGACCCGTTGGCGGACCCATTGGCTGTGAAACCAGTTGCTGCAGTGGCTGTCGATAGTTGGTGTCGGTGGCGGAAGCCGCTCGCGCTCACAATGTCGCTGGGTAGCGGAGGAATTGAATCTGTGTCGGCGTTGCTTGGAGTCGCAGGCATTGTGGGCGATCTGCTGCGAGAGCGTGCGCCCTTTGCTACAGGAGCAGCAGATCGTACCTTGCGTAGACTGTCTTTCCGCTGATGCTTCACGCCATACGGACGGCGGCCGGCATACGAGCCACTGTTGCGAGGGGTTGGGCTCTGCGAGCCTTCGCTCTTGCTCAATGGCTTGTTGCGCGAGCTGGATCGAGTAGGCACTGGAAAGGGTGGCTTCGGGATGTGATTACCAGAACCTAGACTTCCAATACTGGGGCTACGAGAGCGGCTGTGAGCTGCGGTGCCACTCTGGATCATGGCAGATCGTCGGATGCTGGGCTGGCGACTGATCGAGTTGCGCTGTGCTTTTCCAACCCTCGAAGGCTTCTCCATCGAGCTACGCTTGGACGCCAATGAAACGCTGTTAACAGAGTCAACAGATGGCCTGGACATAGGTGTAGTCTCCTTGTCTTCTGGAACAGGCGTGGGCGGGTTCACTGGTCGTCCACTCTTTGCATTACGTGACGACAGCATCGGAGTAGAGTACTGTAGGCTCCTGTAGTCATCGTCACTCAGATCAGCATCATCGTCCTCTTCGTCAGATGATGGACCATCGAACCCAGCGAAGAGACTGCTTGTTCGGAAAGGTCGACTCAGTATGTCTGAATGAAGCTGGCGCGACAAAGGTCCATTGTCATTGTTTCCGGGGTAACGGTTCTCAATCTTCTTCTCACCGGCCTTCTCGAGACGAGCAATGAAATCTTGACGAGTGGTCGACTTGAGAGCAGAGTGCTCTGTATCGCTCGAAAAGTCCTTCTTGACGACCTTGCTGTCAGCCTCAGGCGTTCCAGGCTTGGAAGAGATGGCAGAAGGAAGAAGATGCGCAGGAAGCTTGATAGCTCTCTGGTCGATTCTGATTGGTTCAGTCTGCATCGAAGTTGAGCGCATTGGAGCTACAAGATCGCCGCTTGTCTGAGTTGATATGGTCTTAGTGCCTGGAGGAAGGATAGGGGCTTTCGGCGATGAAGGAGCGGATGTAGGAGCATGGATGGCAATCGAAGGGATTGTAATCGGGGTCGGTAGCGGAGACTTCTTAGGCGTCTCAGCCACGGCCTCAGGCTCGACCATAGAGTCTGTTTGTGTGGCTGTAGATACGACCTCGGTCTGTACGACCGGTGACAGAGTTGCTTTTTCTGCAGGCATAGGAATCCTGGGAGTAGGCGGCGGGCTAAGCGGCTCAACGGTTTGTACCGAGCTTGACGTCGTAGTGCAAATTTCAGGACTGATTTGGCGTGGTGGACTAGAAGCCAAGGGCACTGAAACACGCTTTCGGCTCTGGTTCGCCTCAATCTCAGCAGCGGTAGACGAGAATTCACCCGACTTCATCGGCACGGATGGCTCAATCGTCTGCGATGCCGCTTCGACCATGACAAGCTTCGTAGGCGAAGGCGGTGGCGATGGTTGTACACCGGTGTCAACATAGATAGGACGTGTTGGCGGGAATACTAGAGTGATATCGCGAGGCGTCAGTGTTACAGATGACTGTACTGTTTCATACGACGACTTCCGCGGCTCGGTATCATCGGCTGTCATGACAGGGCTATCCCGGATACCCTGTTGCGTATCATTACTCAATCCTAGGATGCGCTTTGCTTTTTCGTCTGGTAACATCGACATTCGGGATTCGCGTGCTCTTCTTGCCCGCATTTCATTTTCAGGGAAATCATCCGAATCGAGCTCTAGTTCGTCCAGCTCCTCCTCCTCTTCGTCGAATATAAGCTCGTCTGCTAGGCTCATACCATTGCCTCGGAAGTGTCCATCAGAGCTCATCAAAGACATCCGGTAGTTGCGTCCAATACTCTTGTAGCTGCTGCTGCTTCGATTCCTTGAATGGCGTGCAAGGCGAGTGGATGGTCTTCGCCGAGGTGACGATTGTACGCTTCCTGCGTCACTCTCTGGTATTCCAGTATCCCGGCTTGGATCGTCTGCCTCGCTCTCGGCACCAGCGTCCTCATTGGCAGCCTCGTGTATAGCGATCTCATCCAAAAGCATCTTTAACCGGGTTTCTGACACATGAACACGTCGCTCCAGCATTCGTTTTTCCCCCGCCCACTCTTCTTTTTCCCGAGCCCACATATCGTGCACCTTGGTAGAGTCATCATCTTGGCTTCGTGTTCTCTTTTCTGCTGCTGCTAGCTTCTCCCGTAGGTCGGCGTTGGTTTCCTTGAACTTGTCTCTTTC